GTGCTTACAAAGGGCAGCCTCCGCAGGAGAAGATTTTAACAATCTAGTGGATAGGATCATCTGTACTGTGGAGACCAGTCAGCTTTTTCCCCCAGCCTCTCCTGTCACCCGCCAACAGGCTCATGAACAAAGCGGACATGGTGGCCAGCAACAGAGACCAACACTGGGCCTCTGACATCAGATCATTCCCTGGGCTGAACAGGTTGATTACACCAGCCCTCTTCCACTGTGGAGGGGGGGATAGGTGTTGACTCCGGCTGCAGATTTGCCTTCCCTGCCTATAATGCGTCTTACCCAAACTACCATTCACAGACTTGCCATTGTCGTGGTAGTCCCCACAGCACTGCTTCTGATAACGGAATTCACTTCAGAGCAAGTGAAACATGACAACAGGCTGGTGCTTGGAATTCACTGGTCTTACGTTCCCTACCATCCTGAAGCAGCTGGTTTGAGAGAACAGTGGACTGGCCTTTTGAAGACTCAGTTACAGTACCACCTAGGTGGCAATAGCTTGCAAAGCGGGGGCAAGGTTCTCCAGAGGGCTGAAAGTGCTCTGAATCAGAGTCCAACATGTAAGGCTATTTTTTCTGACAGCCAGGATTCACAGGTCCAGGAATCAAGGGGGCGGAAACAGAAGTGGCACCAAGAACTATGATCCCTAGTGAACCACTAACACAAATTTTTGCCCCTGTCCTGTGCTGGCTTAGAGGTCTTAGCTCCAATGGAGGAATCCTTCCATCAGGTGACACAATAACGATTCCATTGAACTAGAAGTTAAGACTGTCACCCAGACACTTAGCGCTCCTCATGCAACTGAGTCAACAGGGAAAGAAGGGAGTCACTTTGCTGGCTGGGATTCGTCCTGACTACCAAGGGGGAAATTGCATGACTGCTCCACAATGGAGGTAAGGAAAAGCATGTCTGGGATACAGGCGATCCCTCAGGGTGTCTCCTAGCATTACTATGCCCCATGTTTGGGTCGATGGGCAGGACTACTAATGGCCCAGTTCCTTTAGGAATGAGAGTTTGACCAACAGAGGTGTTTGCTGAAGGCAAAGAGAATACAGAATGGATAGTGGAAGAAGGTAGTTATAAACTGTCAGCTACAACCACATGACCATTACAGAAATGTAATTTCTGTAATTACAGAACTATAATTGTCATAAGGGTTCCTCCTTGTTTTGCTATGAATATGTGTATGTGTGTGTGTATAAAAATATCTTTTTCTTTCGTCTCTTATTTCCTTATCACCATCCTTAGTATCCTATGACTTTACATCATAGTATTTAAGTATTATATCTTGTTATTGTCTTTATTTGGAGTTTAAATATAGTTTAAGAAGATGTGAACTGAGAAGAGGTAGACCTGGGATGGTTAATTTTCTGTGCCAACTTGACTGAGCCACAAGGTGTCCAGACACTTTGGTCAAATATTATTCTGGGTATGTCTGTGAAGGTATTTCCGGATGACATTAACATCTGAATCAGTAGACTGAGTAAAGATTGCCTTCTATACTGTGGGTGAGCCTCAACCAATTAATTGAAGGCCTGAATAGGAAAAAAAATGCTGAGCAAGAGGGAATTCTTCCTGTTTGACTGTTGAGCTAGAATATGGTCTTTTCTGGCCTTTGAACTCAGACTAAAACATCAGATGTGTGTGTATGTACATACATCCTATGGGTTCTGTTTCTTTGGAGAACCCTAATACATCATTATATCTCACATTTAAAACAACTTTATTGGGGGCACCTGGGTGGCTCAGTGGGTTAAAGCCTCTGCCTTCGGCTCAGGTCATGATCCCAGGGTCCTGGGATCGAGCCCCACATCGGGCTCTCTGCTCGGCGGGGAGCCTGCTTCCTCCTCTCTCTCTCTCTCTCTCTGCCTGCCTCTCTGCCTACTTGTGATCTCTGTCTGTCAAATAAATAAATAAAATATTTTAAAAAAAAACAACTTTATTGGGGGTACGAGGATGGGGTAACTGGGTGATAGACATTAAGGAGGGCATACGATATAATGAGCACTGGGTATTATACAAGACTGATGAATCACTGACCTCTACCTCTGAAACCAATAATACATTATATGCTAATTAACTGAACTTAAATTTAAAAATAATAAATAAAATAAAATGATGTTTTGTTCATTAAGGATTTTTTGCATTAATTTAGATATTTAAAATATTGCATTAAAATTGTACTTGTCAGGTACCTGGGTGTCTCAGTCCATTAAGTCCATTTAGCTCAGGTCATAACCTCAGAGTCCTGGATTTGAGCCCCTCATCCGGCTCCCTGCTCAGTGGGGAACCTGCTTCTCCCTCTCCCTCTGCCTGCCACTCTCCCTGCTTGTGCCCTTTCTCTCTCAATCTCTCTCTGTCAAATAGGTAAAATTTTTTTTTTTTTATAATTTTTTTTTTTTTTAAAGATTTTCATTTATTTGACAGAGCACAAGTAGGCAGAGAGAGAGAGGAGGAAGAGGCAGGCTCCCTGCCGAGCAGAAAGCCCGATGTGAGGCTCGATCCCAGGACCCTGGGATCATGACCTGAGCTGAAGGCAGAGGCTTTAACCACTGAGCCACCCAGGCACCCCCTTTTTTTTTTTTTTTTTTAATTTTCAAACATTTTATATTTAGCAATTGAAAAAAAAAGTACACTGTTTTCCTGCTATGGTCTTTATAAAGGATTTAACATTTCAAGTAAAAAAAAAAAAAAAGGTACTAGAATAACCGTGCTGTATCTTTTAACAGCATTTTTATATAGAACAAATTTGCACTGGCATGCAAGCAACTTCTCTTGTTGTCACATACCTATATTCAGAGAAAATTACACCCATTTTACAGAGAAATCCCAATACATATACTGCAATAAGCTTAAAGCAATGTTAAAAAGACCAGGGTGAATGGCACACAAAACTGCTTCCTTATAAATCAACTGGAATTCCTGATCATAAAGTAGGCACAGGGAGATCCAGTCCTTAGGGCTTTGCTCTCTGGAAGAATACCTTTAAGTAATTTTTAAAAACTTTAGCATCAGGCTGTTGAAGCGCTTGACAAAACTCCTGAATTATTTCTGGAGCTACTTGCAAGGAAGGCAGATATTCTTGTTGAAGATACTGAACACATTCTGGGCCCCGTTTGAGATGAATTGTTTTCAATGTCACCGCACACTCAGATAAAGCCAACACTGTTTGTGCATCTGCCAGGTCAAAGGTTTGTTTTAAAGGTGCTAGGAAACATGCGGGGACAATGTGCTTATAAACAAAATCAGCAAATCCCACTGGTCCATCTTTACCTCCCCAGAGTTCTACCAACTTGGAGAGGATGATAAAACAGGTTTTCTGTGCAATTGGATCTGGATATTCAACTGCTCCTTGGATAACAGTCACCAGCACTCGTTCTACATTCTCTGCACCTTGATTTGCTATGACTTCGCTCATTCCACTGCCTGTGACTGTTTGCAGGAAAGCAAAGTAACTCCTTCGCAACATTTGCTTCTCTAAAGCAGCAGATTGGTCATTTTCTTCTGCTGGTCGGAGCAATACCTCAAAAATTGCATGAAGTAGAGGCATGAACATTTGCTGTAAAAATGGAGATACCTGTATCTTAAATTTGGCTGTAATCTGGTTGATAAGAGGAATGAACTCCTGGAGGTCTTTTGCTTCACAATCTTTGAGCATATGTTCTGAGGCAGACGGGATGAATGGGAGAACTTCTTCCTCTAGGCAAATAATCATGCGATGAAGGAAAGTACGAACTCCACTTCTGAGAATATCCTTTTGCAAGGGACAACTGAGAGCTGGCAAGAATGTCTGTAAACAGTCCAGATAAACTTCGGAACAGCCACACTGTTTCACAGTCTGCTTGTTGCTGAAAGCTTTGCTGGTTCGGCTGGCAAATCCAACAGCATGGTTCAGACAGTCATGTTGCCTATCATATAATTTGCCCCTTTCAAATATACAATTCAATTCTTTTTTAAACCAAATTCATCAAGTTGTCCAACATAAATCAATTTTATTTTCATTTATTTTTAAATTTTTCTTAGAGAAAGAGTGTCTGTGGGGGAGAGGGGAAGGGCAGAGGGAGAGGGAGAGAGAGAATCTTAAGCAGACTCCATGCCCAGCATGGAGTCTAACAAAAAGCTTGATCTCATGACCACAAGACCATAACCTGAGCCAAACTCAAGAGTTTGACATTTGACTGAGCTACAGACACCCCCATAATTCAATTTTAGGACATTTTCATCAACCCAATATAATCTCTCATGCACATGTTATATTAATCTCCCCTATCCCTCTTCCAAGCAATTCTTCTGACTTTATAGCTTTGCCTTTTCTGGATATTTCATATAAATGGAAACTTACAATATATGGTCTCTTGTATGTGGCTCCTTTCACTGAGTGTGTTTTTGTAGTTCATCCACGTGGTAGTATGCACCCATAATTTGTTCCTTTTTATTGCCAAATAGTATTCCATTGTATGAAAAGAGCATATTTTGTCTACCCATTCACACATTGGTGGACATTTGGTTTTTTTCCAGTTGGGCTATTATGAGGCATGCCGCTAAGAACAGTTCTGTGCATCTCTTTGTGTGGATACGTTTCCACTTCTTTTAGATAGATATGTAATGGCTAAATGGCTGGACCACACAGTAAATTTCTGTTTAACATTTTAAGAAACTGCCAAACTGTTTTCCGATGTGCCTACACCATTTTACATTCCCACAGCGAAGTGTGAAGGTTTCCATTTCTCCACATTCTCTTCAAAATATGTTATTACCTGTATGCTAAAATATGGACACTCTATGAAAAATAACTTCCCCCCCAAAAGTTTTAAAATGTTCAGTGAGGAGGCTACCTTTATCCAGGTGAAACGACCATCTCTCAAAAACTGACTGCAGTCCTCCAGCCAGCAGAGGGCGCCCCAAGCCAAGGTCTCTCCTCCTAGCCTTTCGCAGCGCCATCTTAGCGAGATCCTCGTTGCTAGGAGACGTAGACGCGTCTTTGGGCTCCGGACCCCAGCCTCACCGCTGTCCCAAGTTCTCTCTCTTGTGTGAGGACTAAGATCTAAGGTCCCACAACCATCCAGGGGCAGTTCCGCAAGGCCCTCTTTGGGGGCGTTTTCCTCTTCCTTCTTCTAAAGCTGACCAAAGCGGACTAAAGATCCTCACCTAGCTCCATCCCCCTCGACCCCGCTATGGCTAAGAAAGGGAAAAAGGCCAAGTTGCCCCTGTCCGATGAGGAGCAGCTGCTTCTGTTTCAGCAGAAGTTGCTGGCAGAGGAGGAGATGGCCAAGAAGAAAGAAAGGCTCCTGAGCCAGTTCTTGAAGGTGATGGCTTTCTGCATTTCTCTCTGCCCAACCCCACCCACTCCCTGCACGGCCCCGTCGCCTTGACCCTCTCATTGTGGCAGCCTACGTTCATGCTGGCCTCCCCTGCTCCGGAAATCTTGAAACCCAAATATACTCAGATTTCTGGCAACACTGTTTGGGGAGGAGGCAGTTCTTTGTGAAGCACGGAGGGGGGCAAGTGGTATAGAGGTTGACAGCCACGACTGAGCCCCAGACTGGGACAAGAGGTGTTAGCTGTCTGAGCGGTCTGAAATTCTGATATGCTCCCTAGAGATTACAAACAACATCCTGCTCTGATGTCTTCACCTGAAAGAAATTCACACTTGCCCTCCCTAAAGTGCCATCAGGCTGTTCCTGTCTTACTTCAGACCTTCCCAAAAACAAGAACAGGAACCCCCTGAGTGTTAGTCATCAGGAACTTTGGTCTTCTATGAAAAAAAAAAAAAAAAAAAAGACAAAGGGTAAGGTGTCAGTGACAATCTGTGATCTTGTTTGTTTTACCGTAAAAGGGCTTCATGCCCTGACCTTCTGGGGGCGTATTTATTCCTTCACACAGGACAAGTTGGCCAAGGAGGAGCACAATAGTGCTCTGAACCTTAACAAGATTAACACACAGTGGAGAACCGTCCTTAGGGAAGTCAAGACCAGAGAGCTTCATAAGGACATTGAGATCCTCAGCCAAACATTTGAACGAGTGGTGGACTGCAAGGACAGTGTCATCAAGGTAGGCGCTCTTCCCAAGGAAATACTTAAACCTGGCTGCCTTGATCTCTTAACAGAATGGTCCTACTGAATTAATTTATTAATCAGTTTTGGGGGGCAGAGGGGTAGAAGGATGGGAGAGAGGCAGAGGGACAGAGAGAGAAAGAATCTCAAGCAGGCTCTATGCCCAGAGCGGAGCCTGACATGGGGCTCAGTCTTTCAACCCTGAGATCATGACCTGAGCTGAAATCAAGAGTTGGACGCTTAACCGACAGAGTCACCCAGGCACCCCTAATTTTTTAATCAATATTAAAGCCCTTACAAGATGCAAGCTGTAATGAAGCCAGCATTAGTAATGCCAGTTTTCACTGAAATGAAAAGTGGACTCCTGGGCTGTCCTCCCCTCTCCCCTGCTTCAGCGTAGCCATCTTCCTTGGTCATCTACTGCCTAAAACCAGCGCTATACAATATTAGAGTTGTAAGGCACAGCAGACGTCACCCAGTGACTTGAACTTAGTCTTGCACCTTCACTTTGATATGAGAAGACTCGGTTCCAGAGAAGGGAACTGGCTTGCCCAATGTCACACAGCCAGTCAGCAAGAGAGCTGGAACGAGAGCATGAGTTTCTTGATTCCTCCTACTCCAGTGCTTTATTTAACCAAACTGTTTGGCCTCTTTGATTCAAGCTCACTGGCCCTGGGTGAATCTGAGATCTCCATGGGTAAGGGCTCTCTAAGCATCTCAATCACAGCCATATGCTCTTGGGAGACTCCCTTCTTTCACCTATTTTTAACCTCTTTTTACCACTCCTCCTTAGTCTTTTCAATCTTAAAACAACAACAGAAATCCCACAGTAATAGCAAAATATACCTTACCGGCCTGGCATGCCCCCTATTGAAAAGACGCATCTTTCTCCTTCACACCCTAACCCCTGAGGGAAAAAATTTTCAGTAGACCTGGGCAAGCTTTCAAGTGATACATATTAAGAGTCCCCAAATTTGCAAAAACCACTATATATTAGAATTCCTTACCCCACTTGTTGTACCTTATGGCTTTTTTTTTTTTAAGATTTTATTTATTTATTTGTCAGAGAGAGAGCAAGCACAGGCAGACAGAATGGCAGGCAGAGGCAGAGGGAGAAGCAGGCTCCCTGACGAGCAAGGAGCCCGATGTGGGACTCGATCCCAGGACGCTGGGATCATGACCTGAGCCGAAGGCAGCTGCTTAACCAACTGAGCCACCCAGGCGTCCCACCTTATGGCTTTTTAAGTGACTTCTTCAGCCCCTTATTGGCAGTTATCAAATACTTGCGGAGAAGAGAACCAGCAGGGTTCGTTTAAGGATGCTGAGCTGTGGCCAGGCTCACCCTCCAGCCAGTTAGCTTCCAGCTTTGTAGCTAATGCTGCCGGTCCCACCTTAGGAAAGTCACACGCTGCTAATTAAGCGCCTTCAGGGTCATTCCTGAATAATCGAACCTACACATGTTAAATGTGCAAATGTTAGCGATCTTGCTGACTCTTGCTATCTCCACTTCTTCACTTCCTCTGGACCCTGCATCCCACAACTGCTTTCCCCTCTTCCCTAGGAACTTGCTCTGGTAAAGACTACCAGGCCCGAATCACAGATACTTTCCATCATTTAGTCTTCATCTAACCTGAGTCCTCTGTGGCATGGACAATTTTTTTTTAATTAAAAAAAAATTTTTTTTATGTATTAGAGAGAAAGAGAGAGAGACCCGGAGCCAGGGGCGGGGAGGGGGGAGAGGGAGAGGGCCAGATACACTCCCCTATGAGCAAGGAGCCCTATGTGGGACTCGATCCCAGGACCCCGAGATTACCACCCAAGCTGAAGTCAGAGGCTCAACCAACAAAGTCACCCGGGTGCCCCTGTGGCACTGACTTTCTTATTCACGCCCTCCTTGAAACTCCCCTTTGGTTTCCATGACATCACTTTTTCCTGGCTTTTCTCCTGCCTTGGGAATATATAGCGAATCCTCTTTGTGAGTTTATCTTCCTCTCTCCCAATGCCTGAACTTAATTTTGCACATTTCTGAGTCTGGCCATCTCGCCCTTTAACCACATGTCTAGGGCCTAGACAGTCGTGCTCATTACCCTGACTCAACTTTTTTAGATTTCATTTATCCATTTCTTTAGAGAGAACACGAGCTGGGGAGAGGAGAAGAGGGGGAGAATCTCAAGCACACTCCTCACTGAGTGTGGAACCTGACGCAGGGCTCAATCTCTCGACCCCAGCTGACAAGAGTCAGCCACATAACCGACTGAGCCACCCAGGTGCCCCTCATTACCCTGACCTTTAATACCACTTTTATTTTTTTTTTAAAGATTTTATTTATTTATTTGACAGAGAGAGAGATCACAAATAGACAGAGAGGCAGGCAGAGAGAAAGAGAGAGAGAGGGAAGCAGGCTCCCTTGCTGATCAGAGAGCCCGATGCGGGACTCGATCCCAGGACCCTGAGATCATGACCTGAGCCGAAGGCAGCGGCTTAACCCACTGAGCCACTCAGGAGCCCCTTAATACCACTTTTATATCAATGACTTCCAGGTTCTGCAACACCAGCCTGGATTTCTTTCTCGAGTTCCACATCATTCTATTCAAGATTCCTAGATATCTGTTTCTGGCTGTTGCATTGTCCTCACAACCAAGCTCGGGAGCTTCCTCTTCCCTGGCCAGGCCCAAACCAATTTTTCCACAATCTGGTCTTCCTTACACTCAATTCAGGTGGCCAGTGCCATTCATTCACCAAACCACCCAACACAGATATCTGGGAATCATCCTAGGCATTGCTTCCATCCCTGACTTCTGTTCCAAGTTTTGTATAAATCCTCTGCTTAAGTATTTTTCAAAGCTATACTCTGCTCTCCTTCCCCACTGTCCTACTGCAGGGGAGACCTGGGCATCTTCTCTTATACAGACTGTTCCAACAGTCTCCTATCTTCCAGCCTTCATGCCCAGCCACCTGAGATGCCTGTTGACAAAACTACCAGGATCATCTTTTTGGAACAAAAATCTGATTCTGGGGCTCCTGGGTGGCTCAGTGGGTTGGGCCGCTGCCTTCGGCTCGGGTCATGATCTCAGGTTCCTGGGATCGAGTCCCGCGTCGGGCTCTCTGCTCAGCGGGGAGCCTGCTTCCCTCCCTCTCTCTGCCTGCCTCTCTGTCTACTTGTGATCTCTGTCAGATAAATAAATAAAATCTTAAAAAAAAATCTGATTCTGTTATTCCACTGCCTTAAATTTTAGTTTAGTTTTCCACTTCCACAGGAAAAAGTCCAAACTCCAGGGAAAGGACATCAAAGCCCTTCATGATCTGGCCTCTCCTTGTACCTTTCACACACCCCACATTGTTTCTTACCTGTGATTTTGCACATGCTGTTCCCTCTATCTGGAAGTCTCTCTTCCCCATCTCATCAGTCTTCCTGGCAAACTCTTACTCCTTCAGGAGTGCTACAAAGGACATCTGTCCTGTGAAACCTTCCATGGTGCTCTTAGTCAGACGCAGGCATTCAGTCTTTTATATACCATTGTCACTGGTCAATCATCAACCTCATAGCAATTTCCAGGTTATACAGTAAATTTCTGTTTATGTAACTCCTTTCCTACTGCAAGACTGCAAGCTCCTTTGGAGGGCAATGAGCATGTCTTTTCATCCCCAAATCCTTGGCACCCAGCACAGTGCCAGTAATGACAGGTTTAGTAAACGTTGGCTGAGTGAATGAAGAGGCTTCCATTATCAGCACCTATCTCAAAAGATCCTATTTCATACCAAACATATAAAGTAAAAGCTAGCTCTGCACAGAGGTTGTGGTAGTTTACAGTGAGTGTCTCAATGTGTCTGATCGTGTAGGCATTCACTAAATCCTTTTTTGTTTGTTTCATTTACTTTTTTAAAGAGATTTTATATTTAAGTTACCTCCACACCCAACATGGGGCTTGAACTCACAACCCCAAGATCAAGAGTTGCATGCTCCACCGACAGAGCCAGCCAGGCACACATTTCTTTCCTGTTAATTTTAATTTGTTTTACTTTTTTGAATAGGTAATACACTCACATTATTCAAAATTGAAAAGATAAAGTTATACAGAGAAAAGTGCCCTCCCACCAGTGCCTTTCAGCCATGCAGGGCCTCCCTCAATCATTGTAGTTTCATGAGTAAACCTTTTTTTTACACAAATGGTAGAACTACATACTGTTCTGCCCCTTGTCTTTTTCAAACAATTTACCCTAGGGACTATTCCACATTAGCCCATAAAGATCTTCTCTTTTTCTTTTAATAACTGCATCATATTCTATATTGTAGTTTAACAAATTACTTTGTATTCTGTATTTCCTAGATTTCGGTAATTAAATCTAGAAGGTTGGAGGTGTTGTATTCTTCCATATTCTTCCATCAACCAGGGACATATGTCTGGTTATCTTTTTTTTTTTTTTTTTTTTAAGATTTATTCATTTGAGAGCAAGCAAGCATGTGTGAGTAGGGGAAGGGGCAGAGGAAGAGAATCTTCAGGCAAACTCCTTGCTGAACGTGGAGCCCAGGGGGTTGGGGGGGCTCAGTGGCACTACCCCGAGATCATGACCTGACCCAAAATCAAGAGTCAGACGCTCAACTGACTGAGCCACCCAGGCACCCTGCCTGGTTATCTCTTTTTTGATGTTAGTAGCTGTTGATTCCATTAATTCATTGGGGGTTGCAAAATGCTGATTTTTTAAAATTAACATAGAATGTATTAATAGCCCCAGGGGTACAGGTCTGTGAATCATCAGGTTTACACACTTCCCAGCACTCACCATAGCACATACCCTTCCCAATGTCCATAACCCAACCACCCTCTCCCTACCCACCCCCCTTCCCTCCACAACCCTGTTTGTTTTGTGAGATTAAGAGTCTCTTATAGTTTGTCTCCCTCCCGATCCCATCTTGTTTAAAATGCTGATTTTCTAATAGTATCATTCCTTTTTCATTTATTAGCTTGACTACTGCTATAAAGAGATACCTTCTATCATTGAGCATTCAGTTACCAGGAGGTATAGTTTATACAATAAAGGCAGCATAAATACTTGATTATTTCTTTGTCCTTTATACACCATTAAGAAAAAAAAAAAGCCAGTGGGTTGTCTGGTATTCTCAATGGTAACTGATTTTTTAAGTATCCTTATGAATTCATAAACATAACTGATATTTTTCAGTCCCTTGTAGTTTTTACCCTTATCAATGCTCACGTTGCCCCCTTTCTGCCAGTGAAGTGTTCCAGTTATCCAATACCGCATAACATGGCATCCCTAAATTAGTGACTTAAAACAACAATTTATTTTATTATTTCTCATGATTCGTTGATCTAGTTCACCCGCTTGGTGCTTGCTTGCTGTCTCTCCTACAGTGTTCAGTCAGATGTCAGCTGGGGCTACAGTCACCTGAAGGCTTGACTGGGCTGGATGTCTAAGGCGGCCGGCGGTTGATTCTGTCAGCTGGCAGGGAGTTCAGGGGGGGCTGTTGACTAGAACGCCTTAACATGGCTCCTCCCCGAGCACTGCCCTGCTCACACTGTGATGGCTGGATTCCTGGAGGGAGTGTCCCAAGAACAAGCATTCCAAGGGGCAGGAAGCAGAAGCTGCCAGGTCCCATAAGGGCTATGCCTGCAGCTGGAACAGTGTCACTTCCACCATATTCTCATGGTCCAAGAGTCACAGCATTTCCCCACATTCAAGGAGACGGAAGGAGAGATTACCTCTTGATGGAGGAATGGCAAGGTCATGTTGCAGAAGACTGAAGGATAGCAAATACTGTCATGCCCATCTTTGGAAGATACAATCTGCTCCAGTGAGACACCTTTCTTGGTTCCTGAGTTCTTCTGACATGACGCCATTGGTCTTTCATAGCTGCTCTGCTATCTTGTATGAGATACCTTAGGTTCTACTCGCTTATGTTCTGCCTCAGACCTTGGAGCAGTCATATCTCCAAGCATCCTCAATCCCTTTTATTATGTTTTTTAAAGATTTTATTTATTTGACAGAGATCACAGGTAGGCAGAGAGAGAGGGGAAGCAGGCTCCCCGCTGAGCAGAGAGCCCGATGGGGGGCTCCATCCCAGGACCCTGAGATCATGACCTGAGCCAAAGGCAGAGGCTTAACACACTAAGCCACCCAGGCATCCTCCTCAATCCCTTTTAGTGGTAGCCTCATTGTTAGAAATATCTTTTGTCCCTAGGATACTGCCGGGCTCCATGGGGTCCCGTGATGTCGCTTATACTTTCCAATCATGAGTAGGAGAAGCAGCTCTCCTAGAGCCAGAAGCTGGCATTAGGAACTCGGGGGAAATGCCATTCACGCCATCCAGCTGAATACACTTTTATGTTCCCGTACTGATGCCATTCAGCCAAAATGGGAGCTCTCTGTTTCCTACCCAGTCTTTAGCCAAGGACCTGTCGGAAGCAGAGGAGCAGTATGCCCATGCCCTGCGCAGCCACCTGCACAGCATCGACCAGCTCTTAGCCCTGCAGAGACGCCGGCTCTGCCTCCTAGAGGAAAGCTACAACATGGAGCTGGAGGCCCTAACCAAGGAGTTTGAGACCGAAAGGTATGGAGGCCTATGAGGAAATTGGGGATTGAGTCCAGGAGGGGATCCAGAACCTGTGTCAAGGAGCTACCTCTACGGAGGCGGCCAGCAACCTGGAGCATCCCACCTTGCTTATGACATGACCCCCACAGAGAACATCCAGAGTTCCTTCTGAACTAAAGCAGGTTTAAGCTCGTAGCCTTAGCTTCCCTATGCCCGTGCCAGGTCTCTCCCTCTAACTCCCTCACCACCTACTTTCAGCTATCAAAATCCAACTCATCTGGCAGGGGACAGGGAAGGGAGGGAGACCTCTCACTGAAACCTTTTGTACTTCTTTGCTTTTCATATCATATGAATGTATTCCCTGTTCAAAGATGAAAATAATCTTATTTACTCTTTCTGACCCTAATATGAATAGAGCCTACCCTCCCTCTGTGATCCTTCAAGTACCTAGGAGTTTGTATCACTCATACAGCTCTACATACTGTGCTGAATGGTCGTTACTGGTCCATAAGCTTTATCCCTCAGAGCAGGGACAGTGTCTTATCTCCTGCAGGAAGACAATTATTGACCAGCATGAAAAAGAGATTCACTACCTACAAGATGTCTTCATGGCCATGGAGCAGAACTATATAGATTCTGAGTATGAAAGTAAGCTGGAGTTCCAGAGCATGTGGGATGATCTCAAAAACAAGGTATGGAGGGAGAGTACCTGGGCAAGAACTGGGAGAGAAGGGAGAGAAAAATGCTCAAGGCCACTGGAGGGCCTACAGACACTTAACCAACACAACCAAGAAAATGCCTGTACCCCTACTGCATTTTGTAATTTTGTAGAAATTAGCTGGGAATACTATTCCAAAATGTCGAGGAAATGCACTTTAGAGTTAAAAGGCACCAAGGAGATCGTCTGGATTCACCCTGTAATTTGCAGATGAACAAATTAAGGCCCAAAGAAGTAAAATGATCTGCCAAAGTCATGCTGCTGCACTGTGATAGAACCAGGAAAATCCAGGTCTGCCCTTGTCCCAAAGTGCTTTCCACCATCCTAGAGGCTGCAAATTTAGGTAACCTGCAGACCTGGGTTTGGGCATGGGTTTTGTTTTGTTTTGTTTTGCTCCACAGTGTTTTTTAAAGTTTTAAAATAAGCTTCCTACATTCAAAAATTGGGAAATTTCAGGGCGCCTGGGTGGCTCAGTTGGTTGAGCAGCTGCCTTCAGCTCAGGTCATGATCCCGGACTTCCGGGATCGAGTCCCGCATCGGGCTCCCGGCTCCTTGGGGAGTCTGCTTCTCCCTCTGACCTTCTCCTCTCTCATGTTCTCTCTCACTCATTCTCCCTCAAATAAATAAATAAATAAAATCTTAAAAAAAAAAATTGGGAAATTTCAGTGGTGGCGCCTGGCTGGCTTAGTTTGTAGAGCATAAGACTCTTGATCTCAGGGTCATAAGTTCAAGCCCCATGTTGGGCATGGAGCCTAGTTAATAAAAAAAAAAAAAATTGGGGTCCCTGGGTGGCTCAGTTGGTTGGGCAACAGCCTTCGGCTCAGGTCATGATCCTGGAATCCTGGGATCGAGTCCTGCATTGGGCTCCCAGCTCCACGGGGAGTCTGCTTCTCCCTCTGACCTCTCCCTCTCATATGCTCTCTCTCTCTCTCTCAAATAAATAAAATCTTAAAAAAAATTTTTTTTAAACAAAACTAAAAATGGGGGAAGATTTCACATAAAACCCCAAAATTTTAGCTTCTCTTGAAAAAAAGATCTGGCAACACTGGGTCCCATTTCCAAATGGGGACACTGGTGTGGAGCTGAGCAGATATGCTCTGCACCACCCCCAAAGCCCATGAAACATTTCTTCTCTGGTTCACCACAGGCCTCCTCTAGCTTACAGCACTTATTTACATCATCTGCCTGGTCTTTGTAGCATTCTCATTGGCAACCTCTGCACAGTACTTGGTTATAAACCGTTTAAGAGGGGGAGGGTGCTGGAGGCAGCCAAGCACTGGCTATTTTGGTGCCACTTCCTAGAATCTAGAAGAGAAGCATTTTCTAAGACTGCAACTGGAGAACATAGTAGAAGACCTGTGGAGAAGGTTCCAGGAGGCACTCAAGAATTACACCGATGCCACAGAAGACCAAAAGATTGCCTTTGAGACTCTGAAGGTGAAAGATGAGAAGAGCTCCAAAGAGATTGAAGCACAGATGAAAAAAATACAGAGACTACAGGTGAGTGCAGCCAACTGGAAATACTCACTGCTTTAAGTGCTCCATTATCCCCTGGTCATCTTCTCCCAATTTCCACTGGACCCTGTCACTGGTTGGGGAAAAACGAGATCCTTGGATTTCAGTCCCCAGATTGTCCTTTTACCTGTCTCACTGAAGGCCTTTAGCTCATCAAGGGTTTCCTCTAACCTCTATCCCTCCAGGACTCCATAATTATTTTAAAAAGCAAGATCACGATGCACAACCGTGAGAGTGAAGACCAGAACCAGTACATCCGTAAGGACAAAGAGCTGGTCCTTGCCCAGCTGCGAAAACTTAAAGCCCAAAGGACTCAGGCCCGGGAACTATCACAGGAAAACTTAGTCAAACTCACCTTGGAAAGTAATGCCACCCTCAAGGCCCTGAGAAAGATCGTCGATAAGGTAACAGGGGAGAGGACAGTAAAAAAAAAAAACAAGGAACTTGGCTCCTTGCAAAGTGGAAGGGGTTTGAGAGAGGTAGAGGGCTTTCTCCTGCTTCCTACCTGCATGGATGTCTGGACTACCTTTTGTCTTCCACGTTCCCTCCCCTCTTATGTTTTAAATTAAATGAATAATGAATTTGCTCAGACTGTAAAGTACTTGGAATAGTGCTTGGCACGTAGTAAGCACTCTGTGTTAGATGTAGTCATTACTCTAGTCTCACATTTGGGTGAATAGCTCCCCTATTTCCCCTCCCCACCCCATTTCCTAATAAAAGGTCTCTTCCTGCTTCTGACAGGGTGAAAAGATTCTGAAACTTGCTGAAATATGTAGGAAGTTTGAAACCGAGGAAGAAAAAGTGCTGCCTTTCTATTCAACAGTCTTGACTCCCGAGGAGCAGAAGGAGATAGAAGAAATTTACCCAGAGGAGCTTACTGAGGAGCTCACAAAGGTAAAAGGTCCTAGGGTCCTGGGGCCACCACCTGAGGCTGGCGATCACGGGCCACGGGGACTGCATTTGCGAATGGGCCTCAACACGCACCTTCTTCTTTAACTCCACTCCCAGGTGATAGTGAACTACAAAGGGATGGAGAATTTCTGGAAAAGGTACAACAAAGTGAAACTGGAGCAACTGAGCCTCCAGCACAGACACACCCAGTTGTCAGAAATCAATAGGAAGTTGCGGGAGATGCTGAAGCAGTACTTGGATGGCATCTCAGTGAGTGATGAAGTGCTAAGCCAGCTCAACCCACTCTTCATCGTCAACCATCGCAGTAACTTACCCCAGCCTTTGTCCACACCTACCACCCAGCCAGGTGACAAACCACCTCCAGCCACTTACAACATCATTGAAGCAGCCCACGTGATCTCCCACATCCTGTGATAGGAGAAGATCGCTTTTCAAACCCCAAACAATTTTTTGAGAGAACTGAAGACTTTGCTATTAAAAATTTCCAAGAGGGTTTATGAGTGCCTTCTATGTTTGCTATATTGGAGAGTGCAGCCTATTTGGAAGATACTAGGAATACAGTGGCCCCACAGAGTGGAGATAATAGCCAGGCAATTACCAGGAGGCTCGCTGTTCAAGAAGCACTGCTTCGAGTTCTGGGCGCTAAGAGGGCCAGAACCCATACCTTTGGGATGTAGAGATCCTACGGGAACATTCAAGTGCAGGTCCTTGGCAGTAAGTTAGGACAAGAGGAGGCAGGGGAAGAGGTGATCCAGAGCCTCCGACCACCCCAATGTCAGGCAGGATCCAACTCAGAATGCCTTTTTCCCCAGCCCTTTCCCTCATTCCCACTTACAGAAGTAGCCTCAGAAAGTATCAGGTGAAGAATCCAGAGAAATTTTTAAATATTATTTATTATTTCTTTTTGCTCTTGTTTCGTTTCTCTTCCTTGAGCTTCTTTTTGGAGACTTTAGGTCTGTTGGCCTTTTTGTATAGGTGATACCCAATGAGGCCCAGGAGGGCTGGCACCATGGCCATGCCTACCAGAGGCAGAATGCCCTTCACCAGCTTTTGCCAGTAGTTGGCTCGGATCAGTGCAATCAGCTCCACATCAAACTGCAGCACTGCATCCGCTGAAGGCAGAGAGGAGGCGAGGGTTAGAATCTCTGCATTTTATCCAGGGCTCTGAATCTAAATGAAAGCAGGGAGGGCAGGCCACACAAAAGCAACAACTACGAAGGTGGCAAGATTTAAACATGGTGAGTTCCTCTCGACAAAAGCAGAGAAGGGTTATGAGCAGACTCTACTGATAGTTATGTTTACCCCAAATCTATAAATGTGGCTTGTGTTCAGTGACAAGTCTATGACAGGACAGGAAAACTCTGTGGATCTAAGACATACAGGCTGTTCTCCATTGGTAAGTCCGAGAACCCCTATACTAACTGCACTCCCATTTCCAAATAGCCACATTGACAGAATCTTTGCAGGGCTGTAATTAACTGGCTTTAACCTAGACATTTTAAAATGTCACCAACCAATGAGCCCATGCGATGTGACTGTTAGAAAACACAGATGTTTCATCACAGAGGAAGGAGGTGGCTTAAGAAGGAAGAAGCAGGTGAATGAACAGGAGTGAGTCAGGGGAGAAAGGCAAACACTAGAAAGGGGGAGATCGTAGAGCTTTGGGTGAAAGAGCTTTTCTTTAGTCCCATGACCCTCTTTGTGGTTCTTCCTCTAAGTTGGAACTAGGATAAGAACTTTTATCCTAATACTCTGAAGTACAAAACATTTTAGCTAATAGAACATCTGTTATAACCCAGAGCAAGAGATCTGCATCTTGGGAAATCTGTCCTGGGACCTGTTGACAGCTTTTAAAGTTATAGGGTGGGCTTGGCTTTTTTTTTTCTTTTTAAATTTTTTTTTAAGATTTGATTTATTTATTTGACAGAGAGGTAGAGAACACAAGTAAGCAGAGTGGCAGGCAGAGGGAAAGAGACAAGCAGGCCCTTTACTGAGCTGGAAGCCCAATGCGGGCCTCGATCCCAGGACCCTGGAATCATGACCCAAGCCAAAGGCAGACGCTTAACCAGTTAAACCACCCAGACACCCCTGGGCTTGGCTTTTATTTTTTATATTTTTTTTAAAAGATTTTTTTTTTTATTTATTTATTTGACAGAGAGAGATCGCAAGTAGACAGAGAGGCAGGCAGAGAGAGAGAGAGGGAAGCAGGATCCCTGCTGAGCAGAGAGCCCGATGTGGGACTCGATCCCAGGACCCTGAGATCATGACCTGAGCCGAAGGCAGCGGCTTAACCCACTGAGCCACCCAGGCGCCCCTGGGCTTGGCTTTTAAAAGTTGTTTTTTGTTTTGCTTTTTTTAAATTACTTGACTGTGATGATTTTTACTGCCTCTTCCCTCATGGAGACTGAATGGAGGGGTGGAGATGTGGTGAGAAGCCATGCCAACAGCATAAATGACACGGGTTGGAGTTGTGGAGAAAAGGCATGAAAGAGGGCTAGCAGAGGCAACAGACCCAAGTGGCTCAGGTCGGTATTTCTTCCCTAACAAGGTGCTGTCTGCCAGAGGGAAGCCAGGGAGCCTTAACGGGTTCTATGTGTCTAGTCCCTATTGGTGATCTGAAGAGGAAAAAAGCAGCAGCCCTACAGAAGGAGGCCCCAGCCACCCCTGGCCTTTTTAGCAAACTGGATTTAGACAAAGCTCTGAGGGACTGGGTACTTTGATTGCCTGACAGAGAGGACTAGTCAGATTACCTGGGATAGACGGTGGAAATCCCCGTTTTCCATAGGCCAAGTGAGAGGGAATGATTGCCCTTCTCTTCTCTCTGAGGGAAGGAATATGAATCACAGCTGGGGTGGGACCAGGTGGGCTAGGAGCCTCAGTCCATCCTCAGCCCCACCAGCAACACTCTCTGGATATTCACCCCAAATGATGAACTCTCCCAGCTGAACACCAAACAGGTTGACCAGGAAAGGTCTCTGTCCCCCCACATGCCTCAGCTCCTCCAACAGAACCCACAGCCAGAGAGGCACAGTGGCTCTGGATGCCCTTTGGGTTCCCAATGACTTGGACCTGCCCAGTGCAAAGCCTTTATCACACATTCTTCTGCCTCTCTGAGGAGCAAGGACAACAAAGTAAGCCTCCACTCATGCAAAGGGGGTGCCCAAGCCCACCCCTGCCCTGATACTCACCCCACACACATGTCTAGAAGGCTCTGCTCCAGACCTTGAGGAAGAAGACACAACTGAACAGGAAGCTACCTATCCCCCAAAGCCCAGGAGAGGAGGATCAAATGCTCCCTACGACCTTCAACTAAGTTTCCCACTTCTCAAATCCCTAAACTCCCCACTTCTCAAATCCCTGGTTATCCGTGGGGTGTGGGGCAAAGGGAGTGTCAGAAGCTGGGTTTGAACCTCAGGAGGTGACTGGTAGAGTCCTGGTGGCATTTTCAACGTATGTTAGGGATTGAGGAGGCTAAGAAGGGCTTAGGTCGGGAAGAAATAGAATGGGAGGCTCAGGTCACATACCTGGGATCACCTGCTTTTGGCCAAGTTCTATAACCAGAGGATCTCTGGTCAGAGAAGTGTCAATAATGCGTCCATCTACCAAGCTGCCCTGTGGGGAGAGAGCAGCAGGAGCGCACACCTCGCAGGGCACCACACACACCTGGGCCCCTGGGCAGCGGCGGCAACCCCCTCGCAGCTGCAGCCCAGCATTCCCCTCCGGGCAAAAAGCAACAGGAAGCCCCAAAGGGCTGGTGCTTCTCAGAGATCTCCCCACCCTTCGCTTCTCTGAGCCGGGGCGGAACTGGCGGAAAAGCGGGGAAGGGAAATGGGCAGGCAGGAGGCGCGCCCCTCCCCCCGCCACGTGCTCGACGACCCCGGAGCTCCAGCTTCACTCCCGAACCGCTTGCCACGTGTCCCAGCCAGCGCTGACGTGTTCCAGCAGGGCGCCGCCCCCTCCCGGGCCCCGCCCCGACCCCCCCAGATCCCTCACCGTGTAGTGTATGTGCAGCGTGTCTCCAAAAGCAGCGGGCTCCGCGCACGGCTCGGGGGGCTCCACCTACGAGCGGACTACAGGAGTCACGCAGGCTCCTCCAGAGATTCCGTTCCGGCCCCGACACCCAGCACTCCCCAGATCAGTTCCCGCACTCGCTCTCCTCCGCGCTCCCTGGTTCGTTGCGATCCCCTCGTTCCCCACCAAGGCCTGGCCGCCGCAGCCCCGGGACACCCTCTCCTCACCAGGGTCTCCACTTGGAGGGTCCGGACGGGACTTTCGGTTTCAAACCCAGCCTCAGCCCGGCACATCGCCCCACTGAGCAGCAGCAGCAGCAGACGGAGCGGGAGAAGTGAGGGGCGCAGGGTCATGACTGGACGCGGGGCAAGGCACGGGGCACCAGGACAGGATGCTCCGGTGACGGCGCCTAGGACAGCGGTTCCCTCGGAGCCCAGGCCGGACTGGACGGGACGGGGCGGGTCGCAACGCGCCAGCTCCTCCTCCAGCAGCCCTTCCTCCACCTTGTCCCCACCTCCTGGAGGGAGGAGGCCGCCGGGAGCCCTTCCCTACCCTCAGAGATAGGGAGGTCGCGTTTTAGGGTCCATCCGTTGGCCGTTCTGTCCCCTAGCGAGGGGCTGGGTCACTTAATGGCACCCACTTACGATGACCTATTGTGTGCCAGTCACTTTTCTGTAATTCTCAAAGCCACCCTGAAAGGTAGGCATATTTGTTTCCATTTTACAGATGAGTTCAGGTTAAGAAACCTGCCCAAGGTCTTCTAGCTAGGTGGCGCCAGAGACAAGATTCAAACTCAGGACGGCCTGAGTCCCGCGTGTTGGGTCTTTGGTTTTTCCTCTTAAGATACAGGTCTCTTCACATCTGTCCTGGCAGTGTCTGTTTGGCCCAACCCAACCCAGCGGTTGTTAAAGAGGGCACCCCTGTCCCACTTCCAGCCATTCACCTTGAATTCTGGAGGTCACAGGAGGCAGGGAGCTGTCTTGTCTGCCTGTTCTTTGGAAAGATAATTTCAAAGAGCCAGGAGCTATTTTCCTGCAAGGATGGGGCGAATGAATCCCTGATCTTTTCCTCACACCGACCTATCCCTCCTCCTTTATCAGCAAGCTTGTAAAAAGGGCAACTTACAACCTTTTAATGTTTATTTTGCCCAACCCAGGGCTTGACCTCACCCCAAAATCAAGTCTCATGCTCTACAGACTGAGCCAGCCAGGTACCCCCAAGGACTTCAATTTCTTAAAGGGGTTTTAAAGTATTTCGGGCAACACAACCAGTCCCCTTTTGTATGATTTAAACCCTCACTGCCCACTCAGGCCATGGCACCTGAATTCTGCTCCCTCAAAAAGTCATCGAGCTCAGTCACCAAATTCTTGTGTCATTTCTTGGTCCCTGTCTTCTTCAGCATCTCTCTCGTATTTGATGCTGCTGAGCTCTGAATGCCCTCCCAAGCTCTAGATACAACTAACTGCCTGCTGGGTATCTCCACCTGGGTGTTTGACCAGTACATCAAATCAACACACCCAACACTGTACTCATGCCTTTTTCTCCATCCATCCCATCTGTAACAATCTAGAATTCCCTCCCAATTTTCTGTTTCTGTTATTGGCTCTGCTGTTAGCATTCTCCTAAATTCTCCTCTCATTCCCACATCAACCAGTCTCCTTTGATTTGTCCTTCCACCACCTCTCCAAGCTTTCCTTCCATTCCCAAGGCTACCACCCTAATTAAGCCATTACCTCTTTGGAATTGTTGAAAAAGTCCCCTCAGGAGGAAGGGATTTCTAGGGATGATGGAATGCTCTATATCTTGATAGGGAGGTGGCTAACATGGGTGTATGCATTTGTTAGAACTTAAACTATATGAGATCTGTGCATTGCACTGCACAAATTATACTTCCAATTAAAAAATAACAATAAACACAAAACTACATTTTCAAGTCTTCCTCAAAGCTGGATAAGGTCATATGACTAAGTTCAGGCCAGTAAGACATAAGCAGAAGTGTTGGAAATATTGTCCTGGACTTCCAGCAAGGCCCCTTAAAGAAAATTAATTCAGCTAAGAAGTGTGTCATTGTGTGCTCCTCCTCCTCTCCTCCAGCTCCTTCCCTTCCTTTGTTCTGCTGCCTGGCATATAGATGAGATGAATTACACTCTAGCAGTCACATCAGACCATGAGGTGACCATGAGGATGAAGCTATGTGCAAGGACGGTGAAGCAAAAAGAAGTCTGAGCCCTGGGCACCTGGGTGGCTCAGTGGGTTAAGCATCTGCCTTTGGCTCAAGCCATGATCCCAGGGTCTTGGGACTGAGCCCTGCCCAGGGCTCTCTGCTCAGCAGGGAGTCTGCTTCTCCCTCTCCCTCTCTCAAATAAATTAATTTTTATTTTTTATTTATTTATTTATTTATTTATTTATTTTTAATTTGACAGACAAATCACAAGTAGGCAGAGAGGCAGGCAGAGAGAGAGAGGAGGAGGAGGCAGGCTCTCTGCTGTGCAGAGAGCCCAATGTGGGACTCGATCCCAGGACCCTGAGATCATGACCTGAGCTGAAGGCAGAGGCTTTAACCACTGAGCCACTCAGGCGCCCCAAATAAATTAATTTTTAAAAGATCTTATTTATCTGTCGGAGAGAGAGCACAAGCAGGAGTGGCAGGCAGAGGGAGAAGCAGGCTCCCCACTGAGCAGGAGCCTGATGCGGGACTTGATCCCAGGACCTGAGCCAAAGGCAGACACTTAACCAACTGAGCCACTCAGGCATACCTAAAGTCCTTATTAAAAAAAAAAAAAAAAAAAAAAAAAAAAAAAAAGTCGTCATCTAAGCTTTGATAACCATGGAGTCCACCATTCCAGTCCTGGACTGCTTACCACTTTTTTTAAGATTATTTATTTGTGAGAGTGCACACAAGCAGGGGGAGCAGCAGACAGAGGGACAAGCAGACTCCCCGCTGAGCAGGGAGCCCAACCCAGGGCTCAATCCCAGGACCCAGAGATCATGACCTGAGCAGAAGGCAGATGCTCAACCCACTGAGCCAGCCAGGGGCCTCCACCAGACACTTTTTAACTGAGGTAGAAATGAATTGCTACCTGGTTTTAAAAAGAGAGAGCACTCTAAGCCCCCCAATCCCTAGCGTCTCCCTACTTTAGCCCATTCTGTACACTGCTGCTATCTGCTCAGCTCCAGTTATGGAGCCTATGGCCCCACATTGCCCAGCGAATAAAATTCAGCCTCCAGGGGCGCCTGGGTGGCTCAGTGGGTTAAGCCTCTGCCTTCCGCTCAGGTCATGATGCCAGGGTCCTGGGACCAAGCCCCGCATCCAGCTCTCTGCTCGGCAGGGAGCCTGCTTCCCTTCCTCTCTCTCTGCCTGCCTCTCTGCCTGCTTGTGATCTCTGTCTGTCAAATAAATAAATAAAATCTTTAAAAAAAAAAAACTCAGACTCCATGACATGTCAGTTGAAAACTTTCATCATCTGGTCCTAATCTGCCTTTCCAAACTTGGCTTTTATTCCATTAAATTGAAGGCCTTTTAATGACAGCAACCTCATCTTTCTCATTTCTATATTCTCATTGCCTAGTATAGTGTTTGATACATAGACGGGTTGATGAACATTTATGAATTGAACCAAATCCTCTTCCTGCTCACAGACTGTACTCTGACATCAGATGAACCTGCATCATATGTTTCCATCTCTGTGCCCTGGCTCATGCTGTTCCTTCACCTGTCACGCTTCCTCCAAACCAAGCTCAAATATTACTTCCTCTGTAAAGTCCTGATTCCCTTATTAAGAAGTCACTTATTTCTGAACATCCAGCACACTCTGGGGGACATTATTACATTTTCCTTTGTGTTGCAATTGTTTGTGTATGCCCCACTTCTCCCTATCTCCGAAGAGCCAGCTCACTGATGGCAAGGACAAGGTTATGATCATGCCTGGAGACCCCTAGGTACTAGCTGCACAATACCCCCCATATAACAGATTCTAGACAAATGTCTTTTATATTGAATAAGTATTATGCTATGCAATACTTCCAATAGAATTAAAAATATCTAACTATACTGGGGTGCCTGGGTGGCATAGTTGGTTAAGCAACTCTTGGTTTCAGCTCAGGTCATGATCTCAGTGTTGTGAGATCAAGCCCTGAGTCAAGCTTTGTGCTCAGCATGGAATCTGCTTGAGATTCTCTCCTTCTCTGAAAATAAATCTGTAAAAAATACATATATAACTATATTAACTTGGAAAACCTCCAAGACAAATGTGTGTGTGTGTGTGTATCTCCTTATGTTTTAAAAAAAAAAAAAAAAAAAAGGCAAGAATAGGGACAAGACTAGAGCCTGGATGGCTGAGTTGGTTAAGTTCAGGGTCCTGGAATCAAGGCCCACACTGGGTTCCTTGCTCAGCGGGCTCTCCTCCCTCTGCCTGCTGCTCCCCCTGCTTGTGAATTCTGATAAATAAAATCTTTTAAAAAATAAATTTTTTATAATAATAATAATAGATATGAAAGGAGTACACTTATATTTTAACCCCTCCCCAAGTGTGTGGAGGTATATATATTTACAAAAGAAACTACCAAAAGGAGGCACACTAAGCAGCCATGCGTGGTTACTTTGGGAATGGGAGTGAGAAAAGTAGAGGGGAACGGGTTTCACATGTTGCTCTGTATACTTATGTATTGTTTGGATGTTCCACAATGAAAGTTACTTTGGTTACAAAAATAAATTTTAAAATTAAATAGTAAATGAATGAACACAATATATAATAATACAAGGGAATGTATGGGAGGTGTTGAATGAGTTGTGCTAATGAAACTAAAGGAGCGGGTAAGAGTCCTTGTGATTAGAGAGGTCATGGCAGCTTTGCAGATCTTAAAGAAAAGTGGTATTCTTTAAAAAGTGAGAAAAGGGGGCGCCTGGGTGGCTCAGTGGGTTAAAGCCTCTGCCTTCGGCTCGGGTCATGATCCCAGGGTCCTGGGATGGAGCCCCACGTGGGGCTCTCTGCTCAGCGGGGAGCCTGCTTCCCCTCCTCTCTCTCTGCCTGCCTCTCTGCCTACTTGTAATCTCTGTCAAATAAATAAATAAAATCTTTAAAAAAAAAAAAAAGTGAGAAAAGGGGGGCACCTGGGTGGCTCAGTGGGTTGAGCCTCTACCTTCGGCTCAGGTCATGATTTCAGGGTCCTGGGATCAAGCCCCCATTGGGCGCTCTGCTCGGTAGGGAGTCTGCTTCCCACTCTCTCTCTGCCTGCCTCTCTGCCTAATTGTGATGTCTCTCTGTCAAATAAATAATTAAAATTTTAAAAATAAATAAATAAATAAATAGAAAAAGGGATAAAGGCAGCAGGTCGGATATTTGGGAAAAATGAGTGGACAATTTTGGTTAAAGTAATGGATTCAGGCAGAGGAGCAGAGAGAGATAGTTCGAGAAGGAAGCAAGAGCTAGTTGTGGAGAGCTTGAATGTCAGATGAAGGCAGCGGGAACCCACTGAAGGTTTCCGAGCAAAGCCGTGACCATGCGCACTGCACTGATGTGTGGGGTGATTGGAATGGTGTCATGAAGATGGAAGGCTACTGCCCAGTCCAGGTCTGACACTTTGTCAGGAATGGGAAGGGGAAGTGGAGGTGGAGTTGGGGCAGGGGGTGGATAGTGGGAATCAGGCAAAACTAAGACAACATTATCACCACAGAGGGCAGCGCAAGCCCACCTGAGCCTAGAAGGGAACAGGGAGGAAGGAGCTTTCTCCTTGGATCAAGTTAAGAGGAACCTGAAGGCCAGAGAAAGGCAAGATGGTTCTGGGAAAGGCAGGGGAGTTGGCACAACCCTGACTGGAGGCACAACTTTGAAATCAGAAGCATTCCTGGAAAGGCCTCCACCTTCAAAGGTGTCTCTATCAGCGAGAAGACGAAACTCTACCATAGCTCCCTGGACTCACAGGGTACCCGCCAGGATCCAGTTTGGTCAAGGACAATGATGTTTATTCATTCATCAAGGCTGAATGCTTATTATGTGCCAGACCGTAAGCAGGGCACTGCTTTCTAAATATTTTTAATATGTTTACTTTTAACAGACTGTTAATAAACAAAAAGCCTCTGAGTCAGCATATGTAAACCTGGATCCAAAATCTAATGCCGCATTTTTAAGGGCAGGTATACCTTGGATGACAAAATGTTTTCTTTTTAAGTATGGTTATGCCCTCATTCAGCCCATTCTCTTCTGCAGCTTATAGCCGAAGTGACACACACAAGCAGACACTCACCTTCAAGCCATGATGGTGAATAGTCCTGACCCAAGTTCCTCACTTCCAGACCTTCAGGCACTGCATTGCTCCCTTTCCTAAGGTTTGGATTTCCTCAGACTTAACCTTCTCTTCCCTTTGCTCAGGAACTTGGGGTCATTCTTACCCAATCCCAGCAACCACAGCCAGGAAACCCAATTAGATTGAAAACCTTTAGAGGAAGGCAGGCCTCTGGATCCTATCACTCCCCAGTGACCAGCACGATACTTACTCTATCCCTCCAGTTACCAGGTTAGAAAGTAGAGAGCTGGGCTTTGGCTTTCCTATCTCCACACCCTTCAGAACTGGAAAAGAAGTGTTCCTAGTACTATGACTGCCTGCCCAAAGACACCACGCTGTGCAGCAGCAAAGGGGTATCCCCCACACAGTTATTCCCCAACTCTCACTGCCCCACGTGCTGCACTATGGATATCCCAAAGGATTTCCAAGCATCCCAGAAATGGATTGCCAGCTCTCTCCATGAGGACAGTGGTAAGACTTCCTTCTTAACACAGGTCTGGAACCGTAAAAGGTACTAAGTAAGTACCTGTCAATTTTCTGCTCTGACCAATCTAGGCACTTGAACTGGAAGTGATGCAGTGAACCCCCAGAGCCTTCAGACCTTATACCTCAAGTCTGAGAAACTCCTACATACCACACTCATTTTCCCTGTCACTGTCCCCAAACTCTGAAATGAAGGCGACAGTCTGTCGTCCACCCCAGCCAGACCAATCCAAGGCTTTCTGCTGGCTCTCTCTAGGCTCATGTCAGAAAATCCCCTGCCCAGAATATTCTGAAGTAGATCCTGGGCCCAAGTCTTCTGTCAAGCCATAACTGAAGAGCTATTCAAGTTCTGGGCAGATATGGTTGCTCTTTGTCCTTAAGAGCTGGATGCTGAACACTTATCTTCCAGGTTAAGTCTCTCCCTCATCCCACCATGTGCCCCCAAAAGAAGCTGAAAAGTTTAAGCAACAGCCACAAGGGACTGTGCTCTGACATCAGATGATGTCAACTCATTCCTGGCACCTTAAATGGAGCACTGAGGGGCAAAATGGACTAGGTCATCCTCTTCAGGAGTCAAAAAGACACCCACTGACCTGCCATCCAGCTAAAGTCCTCTCCATTATCACTATCTTATGATGGGCTATAGTACTAAAAGGAATATGCTTATTAATGTACAAATAAAGCACTTGGTAAAGGTGTTCTTATCAGTAACTGTGGTCACCAAGCAGGACTTTTGAGGAGCACAGATGTAACTAAATACAAATGATTTTCTTCACACTGGTACTTGGGGCTCTCAAACTTACCGTATGCCTAAATCCTGTCTCTTTCCCATAATGTCAGGATTGGAAGGTCTCTGTCCCCAAAGCTTAAGAAGGTGGTGAGAGTGAAGAACGCCTGCCTAACTCACCTAGACTTCACCCACCAAAGGAAGGAGAGCACCACCTCTTTCCGTTCCTGGAGCCAGACAGTAGTAGCAGGAGAAGAAGAGAGTAGTGGCAAGGGTGGGCTGGGAGGGCAGAGGCTTGTCCTTTCCCTCAGGACACTTTGGAATCTCTGGATGAGGCTTGGCATCCTGACAATGGGGAACTACATGCCTGAAGCAAAGGTGATATAGGGCCATAGCTGTAAGGAGGATCAAGTTCATTATACTATCCAGACCTTTACCCTTCATGTTTACTCACTGCCAAAGTTCAGAAATAGTCGGGTGAGGGGACTCCAATCTATGGATGAGGGAACCCTGTTCCAACCAGAAGCCCCTGATTGCACAGGGCTGGGGAGATCTGAGAGTGGAGGCAGGGTGGGTCACTCCAAGTTCAGGGCCCTCTAGCCACTGAAGTCCCTAATGACTACCAACAGGTGATAAATAAGGCTAAGAACAGGATGAAAGCCTTTACAACTAAAAGAGCACAGTCACGAAGCCCTCACATTTTGGTGCCTAATTCATTTAGGCTCCATTTAGGCTGATGGAAAGTAGTAAGCAGTGTAGAAATAAGCCTAAGTCCCTCCATAACCTCACTCTCCCCCTGTCAAGTGTACCCTTTACCCCTCTGCTGAGAGAAGGAGCAGTCTACAGAGAAGGACCAGAGACAGGAATACCCTCACGATTAAAATACTGCCCAATGGCTGCTGCACATCAAGGATGAAGGTCTGCTCCAAAGCTGCATAAAACAAGTTTAATTTCCAACCAGGGTCACAGTCATCGCGTATCCCACATTTTGGGCAAGGAGAGAGAAGGTGAGTTATTAAACATATACAGTCTACATTCCAGAGGGGGAAAAAAAAGAAGAGAAAAACCAGGACTGCAGTTACCACTGTAACACCACAAAACAAACTTCAGAGGGGAGGGGGGCAGAGGGGAATCTCTAGGGAAAAAGAAAGGCTGTAACAGAGGAAAGCATAAAATTAAATCTACCAGAGGAGAGTGTGGGAGGGAGCAGGCAAAAATGGAATGAGAAACCCAATCCAAAAAGAGCTTTTAGGAGAATGGGACTGTAGCAAGGACCACCCCTGCCAAGGGCCTAGCAGCCAAGGACACTACCACGATCACTTACTGCCCCCTGCTGGATGGATCCTTGAGCAACACCAAGGCAACCTCCAAGGCTGCTGCCTAACACCCTCAGGCCCACTGGTCTCTGGAGCCCCCCAAAACAAGGTAGGGGTGGGCCTTAAATAAGAAAAACGTAATTGGGACTGCCATCTAACTAGGGACGGTCAGACTGGGAGGCAGGAGAAGAGGCAAAATCCTCAGCTATTGCAGAGACCAAGAGTGGAGAATCCTAAGTAGGAACGAAACAAGGAAAGGGGAGACAGGCAACAGCAGTGAATGAGTTGAGAAGGCAAAGGAAAGAATTCAGGAGGGGAGAGGCAACAAGTGCAGAGGAAAAAAAAAAAAAAGAAAGAAATGATGGAACAGAGGCAGAGGCAAAGGAAAGCATCCACGGGGTCAGGGGAGTGAATACATGTTAAAATGAACTAGAAGCTCCAGCACACCTCTCCCCTTATCCTGCCACCAAATACACACACACACACACACACACACAGGCCCAGAGATCAGGAGACCTGCACACTCCCACTGCATCTTGGGTAAACAGTACATCACTAAGGAACTGGCACTGAGGGAGACACCCCTGGAACCTCTCTTTCACAGTTCAACTTGGGGTAGGGTGGGGGTACTGATCTGCCTGTTGTAGACAAAGGTGGCAGGAAGCCTGGCCCCATGGGGTGGGTTTGGGACAGTCCTTCTGGGAAGGGGCCCCTCAGCCATGTTGTGGGGGAAGGAGGGGACAGGGCGCCTGGGCCCTGACCATAGCAGAAAGGTCATGGGCAGCCATTTTGGAGCTCAGGGCGCAGCCAGCACACACGGGAGCCCACAGAAAAGCCACGGCTTCATAGAAACCGCAAAGTCAGGACCCAGGCCAGGACCTCAGGGACAAGCGCCCCCCATAAAGAGAGAGACGCAGTAGCAGCAGCTTCTGAACAACTACATAATGGTGGGAGGACCTGAAGACCACTACATCCCACCAGCACCAACAACTACTTCAGAGTTCTAATTTCCTCCACTCCAAGCCTCAAACTGATTCAGGGGAAGGGGCTGAAATGGGCAGAAGAAAACTGTTGGGGTGGTGTGAGGAGGGACAGCAGGATAGTCTGAGGGTCTAAAAACAGAAAAGAAAATTTTCAGCCTTCAGCACATCCCAGACTAGAAAAAGAGAGAAATGGAGAACAGGGGAATTGAAACTGAGGCCTGCCATGTCACCCCCACTCCCCTCCTCCCCATTAAACCACCCAGCCAGCCCTGGTCAGGTCAGCAGGACTACTAGCATGAGGACACTCTGACAAAGGACAGATGAACCACCCAGTCCCCGAGATCAGAAGATGAGGAAGGGGGGGCATGGGAAGGCAAGAGTAGACTGATCCATGCCTCACCTTCTCCTAACAACACAAAAGGATGAAGATGGAAAACCTGAGGCCCACCTGCCCGGTGCCCTGGATCCCAAACATACCCCATGGTCTTGCTCACCGCCCCACCCATCCTCCTCACAGGCTCCTGAGGAACCGATCTAAGGAGGAGGAGGAGGATCAACTGAATACTGGGCTGGTAAGAGTGAGTGGGCTCTTCTCTCTTTCCCACTGGCAAGGCAGGGCAGAATGGCATCTCCTTGGGAACAGTCATCTAGCTATAAACACCACCCCCCTGCCCTGAACGGGGTGGAGAGAGGGGTACAAGGAAGACAGCGGTGGAAAATCCATCATCCGTCCTATCATCTGGAAAAACCTACCTGCAGAGAGGAGAGGAACCAGTGCGAGACTGCAGCAGCCTTCCCTCTACCTTCTTCCGTTTATCTCACCAGCATTGGAGGGGCAAATGATAGACTGGAGTGGGCAGTGTGACCTGGCCCCCAGCACCGAGTCTCACCCCACCCCTCCACCCTTCCCCCTGCATATACATCTTTCTATACACGTATATACACGCGCACACACGCACGCACACACAGAGAGGCCCGTGCAATTTCCATGTAGAACAGGAAGAGAGGGGCAAAGGAAAGGAAGATGGGGAGTAGGAGAGGAAGCTGTGGGGAGAGGGAAGGGACTGAGATGCCAAGAGCACAGCAACCAGAGCCAAACGAAGCGAACGGAGAGAATACCCCACCCCACTACCCCTCCCAAACCCCAGAGGATGGGGGGGGCCACCCATGAAACCATAACAACCTTGTTTTTGTTTTAAATCCGATAAATTGGAATGATTCATCATCAGGACAGCAACTGGGGACTGGTCATGGACAGGGGAGTGGAGGGGAGGCAGGGAGCAAGGCTCTTGTTGGGCATGCGGACATGATACCCAGGGCCCTGGCCACACTGGCAACGGGAAGGAAGGGGCAGGGCTGGGGCAGGGAGACAGTAGGTGCGTCAGGGGTGGGTGGGGTGGTCGGATAGGGCTGTCTGGCTCTCACTTCTTGTTTTTGAGCTGATTGGCCAGCCAGTCCAGGCCTTCG